ACAGGGCAAGGTAATCTTTAAGGCAACTGTTTTGAGAGTTACAAATAAGGTGCTGGCCCCAAAGGAATGGCACAAGCTCGTACAGCATATTTTTGCTTCTGATCACCTGATCTTGCCCATCTTTTTCTCCGCAGGCGACCCAGAACCCGCGGCCCATCCCAACTCCCGTTTTTGTGCCCCGGCCCGCCAGTGCCCAATCATGGACCCTGACTGGGAATCTCCCCAAGGTGTCCCTATTTCGGCCATCATCTTTGGGGGCAGGAGGCCTGCAGGTAAGTGACTTTGACCCACCCCACCCCTACCCCAGACACTGGTACTCAAGGAAAGTTTCTTTAAACTTCTCCGACTTTAGAGCTGCTGCTGGCTGGGGATGCTAGAACCCGGAGTCCAAAAAAGTAGCTTTGCCAAGCGGTGCTCCCTGCCAGGTGTTTTTTCCTCTCCATTCTATCAGCCTCAGTAGATCCATGGGGTGACCTTCCGCTAACCTTTCTCCCTCCCTCGCAAGGTGTCCCCTTGGTGTACGAGGCCTTCAACTGGCGCCATGGGGTCTTCGTGGGCACCGCCATGAGATCGGAGGCAACGGCAGCAGCTGAACATAAAGGTGAGCAAGTGCCTGGCTTGCCCTGTTTGGACATATTTGTCTTTTAGATCGGCCATCACGAATTCCGTAAAACGAAGGTTGCCTGGCAGTGGCCATGGAAGTATCCTGGCTTTAGAAGTGCATTTTCATGCATTTTTTCATAAGTTTTAACAGGAATCTTTCAGAGCTTAGAAACATTACAGTGGGATCCCCCGTATCTAGAGGAAACCTATTCCAAGCCTCTACCACATGAATGTTGAAAAAATACAGAATACTAGTTTAATTGTGAATGCTATACATGGCACGTGGGGCTTGGGTGGCGCTGCGGGTTAAACCGCAAAAGCCTCTGGGCTGCAAGGTCGGAAAAGTGCTATACATGGCACGTGGGGCTTGGGTGGTGCTGCGGGTTAAACCTCAAAAGCCTCTGGACTGCAAGGTCGGAAGAGCAGCCATTGTAAGATTGAATCCCCGCGACGGGGGGAGCTCCCATAGCTTGTCGCAGCTCCTGCCAACCTAGCCGTTCGAAAGCATGTAAAAATGTGAGTTGATAAATAGGCACCACCATGGTGGGAAGGTCACGGCGTTCCATGTCTAGTCGCGCTGGCCACGTGACCATGGAAACGGTCTTCGGACAAATGCTGGCTCTATAGCTTGGAAACGGGGATGAGCACCGCGCCCTAGAGTCGGACACGACTGGACTAAATGTCAAGGGGAACCTTTACCTAGTGGCCAGTTTGGGGAACTTATTTGTTAAAAATATATTTTTGGAGGGATTGTTCTTTTAATATTTTCAGACTGCGACTATGTGAATCAGTGGATATTGATCCCGCGGATAAGGGTTTCCTACTGTACCTCCCCTCTCCCCTCGAATCCTGAGTCAATATGGCCTGTATGGCATTATGACATTATTTTTTTTGGTTTCATGCCATTTTCAGCCTTATCTATCCTTCATTTCATTTAAGAAACCTAACAAGCAGTACTATGAATTTCTCTTTTCCAGTCGAAAAACTAGGGGCAACAAATTACCTTTGGCAATTTAGTTGACAGAGAATTATGTTCAGTCCAAGTTATGGTTTTAAGTCCCCCGTCTCCCCACTTTCCTTGAAGGGTAGGACTTAAAAGTTCAAGACACAAAAAGAAGATCAGTTATTAAAAAGGAGTGAAATTTAAAATACAATCGAACATATTTGAAGACACAGAAAGATCAGCTATTAGAAAGGAGTGAAATTTAAAATCCAGGCAAAAGACGTGTCACTAAAAGAAATACAGGGGCACTTTGCTCAGCTCCTTTCTGAATAAAAATGTCATTAACCGCCTGCCAAACAGCAATAAGAAGAACCAGCTTAGCTACTTTTTAAACAACTCATATGTGGCAACGAAGTTTAAACAACCTGAAGGGCGCATGAGAGACTTTTCAGGAAGTTGTAGGGGAAAAACACACACACGAAACAGTGTTCTAACCATCTCCCACAAAGTAAGATAATAAAAGTTTGTATTGAACTTTCTGCTATTTTTGAAAAGTAACAAAAGAGAAATGTCTCTCTAGGAAGATTATACAATGAAGACAATAGAGGAGACCAACCTGCGGTACTTAGAGTGTTCCACTGAGATCCATGAGACTTGGGCTCAAATCCCCACTGAACCGAAGTCTCCCCATTGAGACCTGGGTTCGAATCCCCATAGGGCAAATCTAATATGGAAGGTCCAGGTAAAAGGCAGTAAAATAACAACTGGAAAAGGGTTGTGGAACCAGTCACAGCCTATCAGCCTCACGTGGCTGAGGATGAAACTGGGGGAAGCCAGTTATGCCACTTTGAGCTCGTTTGAAGAAAGGCTGGATATAAATGCAAGACATGCAATAAATAAACGAGTCTTCCGTGGGCCTTGTACTGTGCCTATGTATCTGTACACCGACTGCAGAAATTCCCAAGTTTCTGGCACGCATGATTTCTGGAGGCATCATCTGAAAACTCTGGATAAGTCAAATCCTCCCAGTATGCTTTTTTTCCCACACAAACCATACCAGTGTTTAAAATGATTATTCTTTTGGATTAAACAGTTTTCCAGTTCTTGTAGACATCAAGATGTCTACCAGTTTGAGTGATGTTCAGAGGGAATTTATCAAATTCGTAGATTGGCTATGTGACATGAAATATGACCATGATTTTGAGTGCAGCTATTTTTAAAGTTAGTTTTATCAACCGGCCACTTCCACTACCATGAATTTTCAAAATTCCCCATGACTTTTTGCCAGCTGTTAATTTGCTGCCTTTTCCTGGGTCTTCCAAGTTCGGTTTAGAACCTTAAATAGGAACGAGAACAGAACATCCATGTGGGCCTCATGGCAAATTTTGTTCATGTGGTGTCTAATACGTTGCCTTTGGGGAGCCCACCTTCCCTCTTTGCCTCATGTTCCCTTGCAACTGATATACAGAGGCACCCTGACTTGGATCCTGGAAATGATATAGCCAGTCAGATGAGTAGCCATTGATGGCCATAACTTCCCAGAATTTATCTGGTTTCCTTTCAGAGCCACTGGTGTTGGCAAAACACTGTGGCATCTTGTGGTAGTAAGTTCCACAGGTGAATGTATTCAAAGGCAGTAACCATTTTTGCTGTCCTAAGTACGAAGCCCAAGGAAGAGTGGCTGCCTCAGGATGAACATAATGCAGAGGTCATCATGATGTCTTGGCAATGGACATTCAGAGATGGGTGGAGAAGGGAGACATGGTTCATTTCAGGAGTTAAAAGTTTAGCGCATATGTTGAGGAACAGCGAGAGCTTGTTGAAGGTGGATGCAAGGCTAAGCCATTCAGCAGGGAGTCGGGGCTCCACTGTCAAAGGAAATGTATTTTTTATTCATGAAGGCTTTCATGGCTGGGATCTAATGGTTGTTGTGGGTTTTTCGGGCTCTTTGGCCATGTTCTGAAGGTTGCTCTTCTTAATGTTTTGCCAGTCTCTGTGGTTGGCATCTTCAGAGGACAGGAGTAGCACTCTGTGCTCTGGTGCAGTTTGTTTGGGAGTTGAGTATAGCTGTGGGATCAGCTTTTGTCCTTTTCAGGAGATGGGTGATTGTGATGATCAGTGTGTTTTTGTTGTGGGTGTATTGTTGTGATAAGCTGATCCCACAGCTATAAATACTCAACTCCCAAACAAATTGCACCAGAGCACAGAGTTCTGACTCCTGTCCTCTGAAGATGCCAGCCACACAGACTGGCGAAACGTTAGGAAAAACAACCTCCAGAGCACGGCCAAAGAGCCCAAAAAACCCACAACAACCACGAAATGTATTTTTCATGAGACTTATGCACAACTGTCTTGTCTTTCCACCTTCCTCGAAACCATTACAGGCAAAGTCATCATGCACGACCCCTTTGCCATGCGCCCCTTCTTTGGCTATAACTTTGGCCGCTACCTGGAGCACTGGCTAAGCATGGAGGAGCGCAAAGGGGTCCGTCTGCCCAAGATCTTCCATGTTAACTGGTTTCGGAAGGATGCCTCCGGGAACTTCTTGTGGCCGGGCTTTGGAGAAAACTCGCGAGTCCTTGACTGGATCTTCCGCCGCGTCGACGGAGAAGAGAGCGCCCAGGAGACGCCCATCGGCTATCTCCCGAAAGAGGGGGGCTTAGATCTGACGGGCCTGAACAAGGTGAACTTTCAGGAGCTGTTCTCGTTGCCCAAGGAGTTCTGGGAACAAGAAGTGCGAGAAATCAGGCAGTACCTGACGGAACAAGTCCCGGACGACCTGCCCAAGGAAGTCATGAAGGAACTGGAGGGCTTAGAGAGCCGGGTGAAGAAGATGTGAGGGACCTGAAAAGGAAAAGGAGGAAAAAACAAACCCTGGAAAAGACCAAAGGCACATCCCTGGTATCTCCTCTGGGAAGACGAAGGAGATGGCAGGGTGCTTGTTTACAAAATGTCCCTTTCCCTGCTTCTTACCAGTTAAGCCTCTTTGGCCATTAAGGAATTGGTCATCTTCTTTCCACCCATGTAGGGTGGCCGTCCTGGCTCCCAGGCACCACCGAAGCTCTCTCGGTGGGTCCGTTCTCTCGATGTCTCTGCTTTCCATCCTTTCTCCTGTGCTGCCCTCCTTCCTTGGTTGCAGGGAAACCGTCCAGAAGTTGTCCGGCTGCCATCTTGTCCTGCCAACGGCCCTGTTGGTTCTGAGCCCGCTTTTCTCGTTGATGCATCATCCTTACTACTGAGTCATTTCCGCTCTTCCTTAGACCACTTTTCCTTCCTTCTAGGGAAAGGCCTGATCTGAAAAATGCTCTCAGGGAAGGTGTGAGGGAAGCTTTTTCCTTTATATTTTCTTTTTTTTTCCCCAAAGGGGACACCTCAGGCCAACTTGGTGAACGTCTTCAAGTCCTATGTTGGGACCAATATTTTTTTCTCTCTACTTTGGGACACAAATGGGAAGCCTTGTCGCCATGAGCAGTAGAAGGCCTACCATCAATAGGTCTTTCAAGCCAGTGTCATTTCCTTAGCAAAATCTCCTTAGCAAAACCAGCCTTCCTGTTTAGTACCTCAAATTCATCTGAAGTGAACCGTTAGGTGCTGACCTCTCACTTCTACACCCAATATGTAGTGAGAATAACCAGAATGTAGCACAAGCCATACAAATACACTACATTTACCTAGCCTCTCCTCTTACTTCATCTGAATGTATGACACTGCCTTATACCAAGTCAAGCCATCGGTCTGTCAAACCACCACTGGTCAGTAGTTTGCTTATCTGAGGACCTCTGAGGCCACATTGCTACACCAGTGACGTGTGGTTGCATATTCTTCACCAGATCAGCCCATCTTATAATACAGTGGACCCTCGACTTACAGACGGCTCGACTTACAGACTTTTTGAGTTACAGACTTCTCTGGCCGCAAAATTTAGTTTTGACTTACAGCCAGAGAATCGACCTACAGACCAGAAAAAAACAAAATGGAACCAAAATGGCCGGTTACGGATTAATTGGTTTTCAATGCATTGTAGGTCAATGGAGCCTCGACCTATAGACTTTTCGACCTGCAGCCACCGTTCCAATACAGATTAATTCCGTAAGTAGAGGGTCCACTGTATATCCCACTCCTAACTGGGTGGGTTTTATGACCTGTAATTTCTGTAAACCTGGCTCATGTTGATGATTGTTCTCCTGTGGCAGGGAGTAAATCTACTCTTCAGGAGCCCACAGGAAATGTATGAAGGTGCAGGGCTGCCTACTCTGTGAGCAAGCAATGAACGATGGCTCTTAACATTATAAATTTTAACAAATGTTTCTACTTTTCTTTGAAGCAGGAGAACAGAAGCTGTGACCCTCTTGATATTAAGGGGCTTCAGCTGCTCGCTGTCCCAGCTTTGTGTCAGGCTACAGATTTCTCTCCCTTGGTCCAAATGATCCTTTTACTAAACCCAGTGCGAAATGGTTAATCCCCATAGATAACTTGAAACCTCTTTCAATGGACCCTGGGTTTCTGTCCAAGGTCAGAATGTTTGTGAACATTCCATGACACGATGGCAGCTCTGTCCATTTGAGCCCAGCGATCCATATTTAAAGCTACCTAGGCTCTAGTTTGGCTCCCAGTACAACTAGCTAAGCAGGTATGGGGAGGCATTTCTCTTCAATAGAAACTGACTTTCTCCAAAAATCAGCTCAAACTGATTTGAGGAACATTAATAACTCTGTTCATCAAAATCTAGCAATACAGGAATATGGGGATTAGAGTATTGGGTCTATAGGTGATCATGGATAACACCTCTCTTTACTTGTGCTTCTCCTTCCATAGCCTTAGACAAAACCACGCTCAGAGGAATATGGGGATTAGAGTATTGGGTCTAGAGATGATCATGGATAACATCTCTCTTCACTTGTGCTTCTCCTTCCATAGCCTTCACCTACCTAACATGACTGTTCTGAAGCCATATGCGCTAAAAACAACGATCCTTTGTGGACCAAAATATGGCATTAAAATGAAATTTACTGCCTGCCCTTGGTCTTCTCTTTAGAGACAATTTGACTCCATCTCACGATACTATTATCCGTTATTCAAATCTGTCTGGTACACTGTCTACTCTCACTGGGGTCCATCTACAACTCTATTCTGCTTTGTCTTATCATTGCTCCGTTGCTAGTCTCTTGCCCTGGAGCTTAGAATGTCTGCGAATATTCCATGACATCCCAGCAGTACACCCAATAGCTGGTGTTTGTGTATTTGTGTACAAAACAAACTGGAAGATTGTCGCCATTGAATGTATGAAGATACCCAACGACAGGAAGGAGTTACATAAAGCACATTTTGGCCACTCACTAAAATAGCTATGCGAGTCTGTTACAATTTTGCTAGCTGGCTATCAGGTGCTATGTCTTCTTATAATCTAATAATCTAAATTCCATCCCCATCTGTATGTACATTCCTATATGACACAGGGGCAGGAAATACTCAACTTTGGTCAGTACTTTGATGGTTATACTTCTCGTGGTGGTGTTTTGACCAGTAGTGGGGTAGCAGCTAAAAAAAAATAAAATAAAAAGAATCCCAGAGGCCAAGCTAGACATTGGACTACAGTTTGATTTGTCTGGGTTTTTTTAAAAATAAAATTATATTTTATTAATATCAAACATGAATGAGAATAATGGTGTCAAGAAATAAAAGGATGTGACTGTTCTTTTATGGGTACCGATCCCACACTGACAAAAAAAAAACACAACCATTTGGCAGTCTGTCTCTGTTTTTCGATGCACTGTGGCTTTTTAAGAGAAGACACATCCTTGAGATGAGTCCCTGGGAAATGAAGCATTGTGAACTGCATGCACAGGATCAGAGGGCAGGTCACCTCTTTGAGGGTGTAATTTGGTCAGAAACCTGTAAAAGTTATCTCTTTTGACTACGACTTCCAGACCCCCTCCTTCCTTTAGCCAGCATGAGAAGATGTCCCTACGGTGTAGTAGTCAAAACGTTGGAAGGAGAAAAGGTGTACGAAAAGCGTGCTCCTAAAAAAATGGAAAGGAACTAATCAATTTCATCCATGTAACTGGCAAATGTGGTTTTAATTACTACAAATAAATCAATTTAATTTCGATCAAAGTGAATATGGCTACCGATTTCTATACCACGTGACTTGAGACAGATATTTTTTAAAAGTTGGAACAGGTTGGTGCAAATTTCCAGAAGGACTGCACCCTGATTCAGTTCCATGTCTCTGCTGAGCCCATGGAGTTCTTGTGAGGATGAAATGGGAAGGACAAAAGCTCATTAAGAGGAAAACAAAGACAGGATAACGATGTGATCAGTAAAAGAAAGAAATATTAAAAAGTGACTTTTTAAGAGGCAGAAAAAGGGATGAGGGAGGTATAGAAGGAATGATAAACAGAGAAGAAAACGCACCGTAGGGGAATTCCGGAAAATAGGCATTCAAATAAGATGGAGATTGTGCAAATGAGTGTTAATTACATCTTAACACTTTGAATTGGTAGTACACCTATGAGCTACATGTTACACAAGGAGAGAGAAGCAAATGGCTTCCCAGATGCAGAAAGATGCAGATTGCGAGCTGGAGCCTATCAATGATAGGATGCTCAAGAGTTTATGGCAGGAAGATGCTGATGTCTTCAAAGCACATGGAAGTAAATGCCGCTTACTCAATGGGACCAACAGCAGAATGTACTTTGCAAGAAGGTGGTATATGTCTCCGAATACCGGCATCCCTTAAAATCACCTTTTCCTTCTGCTCCAAGGTGATGCAATGCTCAGTCTTAGTAGAGCTATGAAGCTACCCATTGAAGAAAAAAAAAGGGAAAAAAAGACAGAATCAAGAATACACTCATCTTTGAATTGATGAACCCTATAAATATAAATATTTTAATAAATGTGTCCGTTTGCTTCCAATTTAGGAACGTTTTTGTTTATGGTTTACCTATGGCCACTCTCCAGTGAGTTTCCATGGCTGTGTGGGGATCTGAAGCCATCATTTTATTTAAAATATTGATACCTCTCCCTTCTCCTCAAGAGACGTCAACTTACAGTGTTAAAAGGAAACTATAAAAACCGGAAAGGGATTGGGGAGAATAATGAAGAAAATGAGAAATGGGGAAACTCAGTTCGCCATAGCTGGCTTCTCCGCAGTTCTCCTCATGGTGCTTTGCCCTCAGGAAACATGGAGCTTACAGATAGTTACTAGGTCCTAGTCAGGGAGTTCACGTGTATATGTAACGTGTGAAGGCGTTCTAGTATAGCTTGAAGACGGGAAGGACCTAAGGATCACATAAAGCTTTGGGGAGGCCCATACACTGTAAACATAGCAAGTTAAACACGAAGGCTGAATAATTGCACAACCGGTTCCAAAGTTCTCTGCTCTCCTCCGTGTTTAATAGTCGCGTCGTCAACGCCCGCCCTAGTAACGTCAATCACTTCACCATTGCCCAATCAGAGAGCCCAAAATCCCATTCGGTCCAGAATAGCCCGCCTCCTACCCGAGCGGTTTTATCGTTCGGCGCAGCCCTGGTTGCCTCGGTTATGCAACTAAGCAGGGATGGAGGGAGGAACTGTCGATTTAGATCCGTGCTACCAATCGGAGAGCCAGCCTTCAGCCCATGGCCCGCCTTTTTTGGGCGAGTCATCCGCTGATTTGTCCAATCGGAGATTCCCTTGACCTTATCACCTGCCTTAGGTCTTGACTCGTGTTTTCCCCCCCCCCCCGCCAGTCCAAACGAAAAGAGAGGCGTAGCAGCCAATCAAACACGGGCAGCCCTTTAAAAACCTCCCAGCTGACCCACGTGGGCTAGGGACGCGCAGCCAATCACCTAGCCAGCGGCTTGTCCCTCCCCCCTCCCAACTCCGGTCTCCTTCGGCTTAGGTCAGAGGCGCCTGTTTCCTTAAGATGTAAACAAGGCCTCGCGCGGGGACCGTTAGAGGGTGAGGAGGGTCTCGCGCTCG